ATTTACTAAAAGGTAAGACAAATTAAAATTTTATTTCAAAACATTTTTAGTATTTTTTTTTTAATTAATTTTTGGTTAGGAGAAATGCTTCTTTCAATAAGAAAATGGAAACTAAGATCCATCTTGCAAAGTGATAAAAACAGTTTTCACGCTAATTTCTTTCATTTAAATTAATACCAATTTCAAAACATTTTTGAAATCATATAAACACTTTTTTTTTTAAATTTTTCTTAGGTTTAAGGAGGGTCACACTCCCATCACCCTATATACCACTTGTATATGTTGCAAAGTAGTAAAGTATAGTATTTTTAGAACTTTAGTTTAACTCATTTTAATAAAGAGAATAAGGAAATTTCGCTTTCATAATAGGTTGTATTAACCTTAACTAAAAAATTTTCATATTTGGCAGTAGTATGAGAGCAAACTATAAAGGTTTCTTGAATTTAAAAATTGCTTATTTCATTAAAAAAAAAACTCTTTTCATTAAAAAAAAAATTCAGGCATTTAGATAAGAATTGACAATGTTATAACAATTTAAATTAAGAAAAACTTAATTGTGACCACATTTTCTTGAACAAATCTATATATTCAAAAGTTGTTAATTTAAAACCTAATAAATTTTAGTAGAACTGTTTCAAAACTTTTATAACTCTTCTCCTTTAAAACGTTTTAAAATTTAAACTTTAAATTTAAATTTTAAACTTTTTAATGATATATAACAGCAATAACAGCATACAAAAATTCAAAAATTTAGCATACAAAAATACAACATGTCTAATTTTTGTATTCCAAACACTTAAGATATTTGCCTAACTTTTTTTAAATTGTTACCCCGTATTATTTTGAGTATTTTAGTTTTATTTAGCATGAAACTTATTTTAAAAACTGATTTATTAAAAAAATATTTTAAATCAAGCTTAAATTTTACTATTTAAAAATATAAATAGTAGTAGTCAAAAAATACACAAATAAATTCCATAGCAAGGAATAGTGATACAGTTAAAGCATATTAAAGTCGTATGCTAAATAAATTCAAAGAAGAATTTAAAGATAAAGTCAAAGATGACCTAGAACTTTAAAGCTTACTAAACTTACTTAGCAAACTACCATTAAATATAAAATTAAATTTAACAAAACATTTGAAAAATGTTAAAAATAAAAATAACCTGTTTTATTATATTGAATATAATATTGATTATTATATTGTGATCCAACGCACAGTATAAGACATATGATAGACAAAATTATTATTATTTTTTTTTACTGGAACCCTTCAAATGTTCAAACAATCACTTAGTATTTACTTAGTTTTACTTTCATTATACATTTTAGTTAAATAGTTACTAATACTAAAATTTATCTAACAAACTTGATAAAACTTTAACAAAGCGAATTTGTAATTTTTCAACTCTAAAATCCTTTAACCTACTAAAATCGTAAAAATGTAATTCTTCTAGTTTCACGATGAACAAAAATAAGTAATTCGGCGTTCTTAGTAAGCATCGCACAGTGAGCCAAAAAGGTGAAAAAATGGCAAAAATCATAACTATATAAAATAAAAACATGTGATAAATCAATACTACATAAAAACATGTGATAAATCAATACTACCGTATTTTGGGTCAAAAAAATTTAAATTTGCTGTAAAATAAATTTTACGCGTAACACGCGCGCTACAGCAAACAAACTACGACGCGTAACACGCGCGCTAACGCGTGTAGATGTCATTTACGTGCGCAAAGTATGATTTAATACTAAATACTGATAGAATACCGTAAACGGGGGTGAATATGAACGCTTTTTGAACATTTTTGCATCATGAAAGAAAACTGTTGGCCTAATCGCAACCATTTTTTCTGTAACAGAACATTATACTACTCAGCTTCCTGTATTAGTCGTAAGCCTGATCAACACTATGCAGTAAATACCTTAGTTTTCTGGTTTTATACGAGCATATACGTATTTCCGAAACGGGGTGAAAATGAACGGCTAATTTGGGGTGACTTTGAACACTACATATTATTTCTATATTCTTGTATATCGCTATATTACCTTATTATAATGGGGGAAAAAACTGTTTAAGATCAAAACAGATAACATGAAGTTTATTTTACATGGAACATATTTTTATTTAAACTAAGTTCATGTGAAAAATTAGCATACTATGTTTGAAAACTAGTTTTTTCAATATATTAACATGTATCACAATATTTATTATAATCTGTTCCACATAAAAACAGAACATTAAATATCACTATCCTCAAATTCTTCAAATGACTCACGCATGCTGGATACAAAGTATAAGATATTTTCAATATTGAGCTCATAATAACCATCTTTATCATAAATGAGGCCACAACACTGGAGGTGATATGGTTTACTGCATTTGTCGCATTGAACCCACACGTCGTCGCTTAACTCTACCCATTTTTTGTTACAGAAAGTACAGTACCAATCATTATCTGTGTTGCTTTTTAGCTCTGTTGAACTTGATGGAATTGACTCAACTAAAGAATGAATTCCTTTACCTGGTACCACCTTTGGACCACAAGGTTTGCGTTTTGTAGTTGGATTTGTGCCTAACCCTAGATTGTTTTTTAGAATATCTAAAACAGATTTGTTAAGAACCATAACGGTATCATTACCACCAGAATCTTTATATTTTCCTGGAAGACGTTTTATAACCTCTGTTCTGTCCATAGGGTAGATTCCCGTTGCTTTAAATCCGCTAACCAAAGCTACTGGTCGCAAAGTATTATTTAGTTTATTTAAAAGCGTAGGTAAATGTTCTTTTTGTGATAGCTCCTTTGATACGACTTTCTGATCTCCACTTCAAAAAAATACTCCTCCACGACTGCTTTAATCCTCTAAAAACAGCAACATCTAATGGTTGGCAGAGATGAGTCGCATTTGGAGGCATTGTTATTGTCTGTTATATTGGTCTCATCATAGTTATAGATATTTTCTGGAGGTATATCCTTCAACTCTTTATACAAATTATCAAAATATTTGTTAAGGGTATCTAACTGTGCTTAACATTATCAGCAACCCTGTTTGTTAAGTTATGTCTCTTCATGAAAGACTGAACCCAATCTACCCCAGGCATATTTTTTTTTGAATCGAGCGTCAGTTATACTCCTTTTATCACAATATGATTTGACTAAAAGTCTTATATCCAAAGAATCAAATGGTACCCTCCAATCAGTCATATGTACAATTGTTTGGACAAATAAATTTTCTGTTATACTATCAAGTCTGCTTTGTCCGCCGTTTTTTTTCGGAACTTAATCCCCAAGCTTAACTTTTTTGTGTAATGTTCTTAATGGAATATTGTACTTTTTTGAAGCTTTCCTGAAGCTAAATCCTTGGTTTTTGATTTTAATTAAAGCTATTTCTAAGTCTTTTTTTGTATAACTTGTTTTATAAGCTCTACTGTTTTCCTTTCTCTTGTAATTTCGAGGCAAAGTTCTAAAAATTAACAAAATATAATAAAAAATCGTGTTAAAAAAATGTCATTTTCAAATGAGCTTATAATCGGATACAGACAAGTTATACATTAAATTATTGTTTTATTAGAACATTATTTACCTGAACCTAAATTGAGGTAACTTTGATGACGTTTAGATGAGCGGTTCTTAAGATAATCCTTGATAGGTGGGTTAATAACACGAACCACCTAGCTTGTACTGTTTATATGCGATAGAGAAAAGGCGGGAAAAGAAAATTTTGAGGGCAGCCAAAAATTATCTTCCACACATTATATTTAAGGCAAGTGAGTCAAAAAATTTTAATTTTTAGCTATATTTTATGTGCTGCTTCACCATTAAGTTAAGCTAGTACTAGTGTTCATTTTCACCCCGCAGTTCATATTCACCCCCGTTTACGGTACTAAATATTTTTAATATAAATTTTATCTACAATGCGTAAAAGATTAATATTCCTCTAACCAAAACACGCATATTTACTAATTTAAAAAAAAAATTGGATTCAAAAATTCAAAATACTGAAGTTTCTTATATAACTATTCTTTAAACACAACAAAAAAAGAAAAACCTATCATTAATAAAAAAAAGCTTTATTTCGTTATTAAGGTATTAACAAAGATAAAGCTTCAGAGGAAAGTGGTTTTTTTGTAATTCTTAAAACAAATGTTTGATATTACAGGATCACTTCTAATCAGGTATTTGTACTGGCTCATTATAACATTTTTATGGATATCTTGGTTGTATGGCTCAAGCTAGATTTGTGAATTTCCTTATTCAGAGCCTCATAGACTCTCTTCAGAGTAGTAACCAATTGGCAGTTCTAATGCCTCAGATTCATGCAGTCCATAGTCCATATTATAAGACTGTATAAACAATATCACATACCAGTAATAATTTTTCAGTATCAGGACTATAGTTTCATAGCATATTTGGCCAAAACATTTAGATTTCAACTCATCACAGGAACATATTGATTTTAGGATTGTCCTTAATCTAATAATTACCTTTATTGCTACTATCATTATATCAGCAGAAGTATTAGTATTTTCCAATGTCCTTTTAGCAATGTTCCTATTATTAGTATTGCCAAAACCTTGTTTGAGCATATCAACAATCAGAGGCGGACTGGCCACGTGGGACAGTGGGAATAGTCCTACCGGGCCGATGTTCCAAAAATCGAGTTTAAAAAATTTGACTAACGCAAAAAACTCAAAATCAAACAAAAATTAGTTTGTTTTAGCAGCACAATGACTTCAAATGTATTTCTGTATTACTGAGCTTTCTAAAGCCGCCGGCCTGAATCATTTCATATTGATACTGTGCATTTTAATTTATAAATATGAATTCTAAAAAACAAAAAGGAGGAGCGGCCAAAGAACGCGAAAAAAAAAAAAAATCAAATTACAAATTGCTGCCCAATCATGTCATAACTTATTAAATTTGTTTAAGAAACCAATAAATCAGACTGCAATAAATTCTACTGCTATAATTCAAAAGAATCATCTGTATGAAAGTGATTTAACAAGTGACGTTGATATTACTTTAAATTCACCCATTATTATAAATCAGGTAGACACAGCCACAGAGAATTTATTGGTAAGATTTTCAATATTATATTATTAAAAAAGGTGTCTATCTACATTATTATTTTGTACACCATTAATAAACAATATTATAAGAATGTTATCGATTATACAAATTATGTATAAAAGTATATTTGTTCAAATTTTAGTGTGATAGTAATTCTACTGCAATAGTTCATAAGAATCATCTACATGAAGGTGATTTAACAAGAGATATTGATATTGATTTAAATTCATCCATTTCTATAAATCAGATATGCCCAGCCACAGAGAATGTATTGGTAAGGTTTTTAATATTAAATAATTAGTAACTGCTAAATATATTGGTCTTACAAACAAATTAAACGCATTTTATTTCTAAAAGTAGGTTTTTATTATTAATTTAGGTTTTTAGGTTTTTATTATTAATTTAATTTGAACTTATATTTTAGGAAGCTGAATCTCTAGAGTATCATTTGCCATCTAATGATGAATTATTCAAACTAAACAAAAATCCTGATATCCTCCAAAAATTAAACTTCATCAAAAAACATCCTATCCAGCCATCATTCTACAACAATATCTAACTAGATTTACAAAAGCTCTATTTTAGAAAAACATCAGATGGCAAAAAAATTTCACGAAAGTGGTTATCAGTCCTCTGTATTGATAATGAACTCAAAGCTTTATACTGTCCGTTTTGTATTGCATTCAGTTCATCTCCTACTACATTTTCTAATGGCTGTAATAATTTTAAACATATCCATGAAGTTGTTAAAATACATGAAGAATCGTTAACACACAGGCATTCAGTAGAAGCGTATATTCAATCGTCAAATGATAAGTCTGTTGAATTTGGTATTAATAACAATTTAATGGCATTAAAAAAAAGTCAAATACAAGATAATATCCATGTTATAAGTGAAGTTTTTGAAATAGTTAAATTTCTTGGTCGTCAAAATTTACCATTTAGAGGTCCTAGAAACTCTGAAAGTCTGTATAAGTGGAACGATGAAGACAATTTAAACAAAGGCAATTTTTTGGAGTTGGTTAAATTTACAGCCAAACGGGATGCTACATTATACAAACATTTTAATGCGACTATAAAAAACAGCAAACGCAGAAAAGACAATTTGGAAAAAAAATCATTAATTTCTTGTGGCAGGGGTTCACTTGTAACTTTATTGTCTAAAACTACTGTGAATAAAGTTATTTTATCTATCGTGAAATCGATAAGAGATAGAATTAAATTAGAATTAGGTGAACAAAATTTTAGTTTACAGATTGATAGTACACAAGATATTGGTGTTGTAGATCAGGCAGCAGTATGCATCCGGTACATTTATGAAGGAGAAGTAAAAGAAAGGTTATTTGCTTTATTAAAAGTTGTCGATTCATCAGGAAATGGCTACTATGATATGTTAAAAAAACTTTTTTCTGAACATTCCATTAATTTTAATCATATTATTGGTGAATCATTTGATGGAGCAGCTAATATGAGAGGGGAGTATTCAGGACTACAATCTAAAATTAAAAGTCAAGAAAATCAAAAAAGTGTTTATATATGGTGCTATAGTCATGTGCTTAACTTATGTGTATGTGATACTTGTAAAGGCGTAGAAGCTAAAAAACTGTTTGGATTTTTGAATCGACTATCAACATTTTTTAGTGATTCTTATAAACGTATGCACATATGGTTAAGTGAAATTGATTCAAGTTTGGGGTCTAATAAATTGAAAAAACTTCAAAAAATAGGAGAAAACAATACGCGATGGTGGTCGCGAGAAAAAGCACTGTTTTGGATTTTTGATGGTGATAAATGTCTTTTTCCTACAGTTGTAAGTGTTTTGCATCATATTTCTATTTCTAGAAATTTTGAACCTAAAGTTTGTTCAGAAGCATCTTCTTTATTAGATAATTTATGTAATTTTAAAATAATTCTCACAGCTCATATATTTTTGAATATCTTTAAAATTATTGGGCCAACGTCACGTTATCTTCAGACAAGAGGTATGGATTTATTATCAGCTTGGAGTATGGTAGATTCTGTTAAACAAGAAATTGGACATTTAACCTTTGACAATATTTTAGAAAATTCTGTACATTTTTCCAACAATATGAATGACTTACTTAATAGTATGAATCTTCCGGATGATTTATTAGTACCAAGTACTTTACCTATTACTAGGCAAAGCGGAAAAAAAAAAGAATGTATGATGAGCTATGTGCAGACGAAACACCAGAGTTAACATTAGACAAGTTTAGAGTTGAAACTTTTCAATCAATAGTTGATCACATTAATAATAGTTTAAATGAACGCTTCACCGACAACAATCAATTGATAGCGGATGTTCAATACTTGATACCTAAAAATTTTAAACAAATTGAACAAATGCTAAACAAAGCTTTAAAACACTTGGCCAATTTAGCAAATTTAGATCACATACAACTTTGCTTAGAACTAAATAATTTTTCTAAAATGTATCCCAAGTTAAAAATGTCTACAACAGAAAGAACTAAACAAATATACCGTCAATTTGATACTGATTCAGATGAAAACACAGATAATGATGAAGAAAATATGAATTATGATGCAGCATTTTCTTGTGAGTAAAATTGTGCTTATATATTGTTCTATATATAATTTAAAATATTATTTTGACTGAACTTTATGTTGGATTTTAGGTAACAACAAAAACAGCATACATGATACTAACAATTGTTTACAATGTGTATACAAACTTGTATACAATTTAAACATGCATGTCTCGGCTTATACTCAACTATGTGCTTCATATCAGTTTTTTCTTACTTTGTCAGTCACCGAAGTCAACTGCGAAAGGACATTCAGCAAACTTAAGCTTGTTAAAACAAGACTCAGAGCCAATATAAGTCAAGATAATTTAGAAGCACTCTTAATTATGAGTGTTGAAAAACAATTACTCAATGAAATTGAAATTTCAAATGTCATTGAATATTTAAAAGCTAGTTCTACAGTAATGACTAAAATGTTTTCAATATAAAATTGTCATTTAAGTTTTGTTTTATATAATTTAAGTATTTTCTTAACTATAATAAATAATAATGCATTAATTTGTATGGATTATGATTCTTCTTCTTCATTCTCTGGCATGACTACTCTCTAAGAGATTTTACTGACATTACTAAACTTTGCCACCTATCTCAATCTATGAATTATATTATATGAAAAAAATTGTTTTGAGTCTAATTGTTGATTATCATGTTTTTTAATGTTGAAACTAGACCCAAGGTATCAGTATGTAACATAACACATACCAGAGTACGTATTTAACCTAATTAAATTAAATTGTTCATGCTATTTATAGGTACCTTATAACAATTAATTATATTTATTTATGATTTTTTTTGGGTGGGGGGGGTGTTTAGTTTTTGGGGGGCTAATCACCCTTCAGGCCACCTCTATTTGGGCCGGTGACCGTGATTTCCTACTGGGCCGAACACCCCTCAGTACGCCTCTGTCAACAATAAGATTTAGCTCCTCTCTAAATTTCAATTGAATATTTTTTTTTCTATTTTGATGCTTTTTCAGCTGGGGATTTGGCAAAGTATTTTTAATGTCGAACTTATATGCTAAAAAAAATATAGTAAAATATATTCATAGATCGAAGTCAGAAATGCAAAGTAATAAGGCCTAAAGATAAAGCTTTTTCATTTATTGGTTTTGATCTGACCAATGCTAGTTATTAATTTCACTATGCTTAGCTTCACAAACATTACACGATTGGGAGGACAGAGTGTTAGTGAGGGCATTAACTACTTTACCATCAAAAGTTGTTAAATCTAATTTGAAATTAAATAAGATCGTTGGATCAAGTTTACCAAGTCTATTCGTTTCTGATTTAAAAAAGTTCATATTCATTTCTTACCAATTCTTCCGTTTTCTTTTGATATTGGAAATGTATGGATCTACAGTAATGTGTACTAGAGGCGAGCGCGAATCCAGCGTTTTTTGATGTTAGAGATAGAACAAATTCCAAAAATTTATATGTTTATACATATGTCAAATAAAAATGTTTCGCAAAACATTTTAACAAGCGATGATTGGAGTCTGGAAACAAAAGCCCAAATATTTTGGCCACAACTGCCCCAAATAAGAGAGCAACAATTGATAAATTAATTTTTTTACTACTCTTAAATAAGTTTATCGATAAATTCTAAATTTCATACAACAAACTCTTAGCGTTCAAAAACTATGAACTTATAAAAAGTGTGACCCCCTCAAATTAAGGAGGGTTAAAATATTGTATAGTCATTATTTTTGAACACTAAGAGATTAGTTTATGAAATTTAGAATTTATCGATAAATATAAATTTATTTAGGAGTTGTAAAAAATATATTTTAGGGTTTGTTCCATGTCTGCAAATTAGTTCAAACGTCAAAAAATGCTGGAGCCGTCTCTGAGATCTTCTTATTTAATCATACTTTTTTGTTTATGATTATTTATTTTAGGTGGAACAATAGATGTGTGAAAAATATTTTGCTCGTTAACTTGGGCCTTACCAATATTTGTATCAGAATACTGTGTTTATACACGCTTTGACTGGAAGCACCATCAAAACTACCTTTTAAGTGAAGCACGCTTTTAAACTTTATCTCACTTTCAGCGAATATTCTCTTAGTATCTTAGCATTCAATTAAAGTTAGTATCCTTGTCAAACTATTAAACATACTCTATAGAAGTTGAAGCAGACTTTTCTGTCACAATTAAACCCTCAGAATAACATTTTTATCTCTCATTCTTAATTTTATAAGGTGATACATAAATATCTGCATTATGTATTATGGACAATTTCTCATAATTTTACACTGTTCATCAAAAAGAACTAAATTTTTAAGCTCAAGGCGTCTTTAGTTTTCATTTTATCAAAAAACTTATCTGCGTACTTTTAATTTCATACGTATTTGTAACATTTTTCATAATAACAACAAAGTATTTTTTGCTAGGATCTCGTGGTGTTTTGTTGTTGAAGCTTATGCCAATGCTTTAGCAGAATGTCCGGGCAATTTATCAACCTTAAACAAGATAACACTTAATACTTCAGCAAATAAACTATTTTTTGAATTGGTTTGAATTTAATTGATTTATTATTACCTTAGATCTTCTGCTTCTTTCACCAAAATTTTCTCATTCTTTGCTCTTTCTACCTAGACCTGCTGCAACGTCATTTTTGTCAACTGGTATATTTTTGTCCAAACAGGTTTAACAGGTTTTCTTGTGCTCCAGAAGTCTTGAGAAGGTCCTTGATTGCTTCCGCAATTTAGATTGGAATTTACATTTAAATTTTAACAGAGTTTTCTTAAGAAATATTATTTCAGGTTTGCCAATACTTTCATGGTATGGACCTTCCAGTTTACAAAACTCACGTTGAAGAGCCTCAAGTAAATTATCATGGTTAATTCCCTAGTTTGTTCAAATTAATCATTAACTATCATGATTAATTCCTAACTCTTAAATAATAGGACTTATTTTTTTAAATAATAGGACTTAAATTTTTAAAACATGAAGTCAAATCTTGCATATTTTAGATTTTGAGATTTTGTAATTATCACCACGTGCTTGAGCACGAGTTTTTTACTCATTGGAACTAATTAAATTATTTTCATGATTAATGTAAGCAATGAGCAATTGTTCTTTGCTAAATATGTAAGTTTTAACTATAAACAGAAAAAATAAAATCGGAGCAGGTTAGCGTATATGATTTTCTTTCTTTCTGCTTTCATTTATACCTCACCATGGGAGCTAGTGGAATCTTTAAGTTTTTAAACTAATTTCATGATTAAACTAATGAATAGAAAAATCAGTTTAGGACACTTTTTAAAGATCTTAGTAATGAAAATCTAAAATTTAAATTTATTTTTTAAAATTTACAATAAATTAGAAAGTTACAGACGGTTGCATTTTATTACGCAAAATACTAATATATATGCGCTTGAAGTCCAACAGTTCGAATCAGATTTGTTAAAGAATTTAACTTGTGGAATAAAAAATAAAGCAAATAAATATAATTTGTTAATCATTTCAGAATGCAGTAAAGGGTATAAAAACTCAAAAAAAAAAAGGGCTCTTCTAGGATAAATAGCGATAGACCCAAGCGGGATTCCTGCATAGCCTCTGAGGCCAGCAATTTAATTTCTAAATGTTGGCATAAAAATAAGTTTCTCTTAAAAAACCACAAAAATTAGTGAGCTAAAAAGATAGTGTTGATATTAAAATCATTTTTAAAAAACTAAAAAAAAAAAAAAGCAGAAGTAAACAGTTTTAAAGAATTTCTATTGTAATAGTTTTTTTATAATACATATTCCATAAGCATGTGAAATATTCAGTAGTTAAGATTTATGTTTATGTGCATTTATGTGCATTTATGACTTCCTGTAATTTAATTTTTGGTATAAATTAAAATTTTGTTAATCTGATCATTTATTTCTGATGCTTTATCAGCTGCTTTAAATATTATTTAATTGAAATAATAGCTAACACATGAAAATGCACTCTGTAAATATTTTATTCCTTTAATTATAATTAGTAACTTTTTAATTTTTTTTTTCTTTCATAATTATTTGTTAATATAAATTATATGTTATTTTTCAAGTAAAGTAAAGTTTTTAATTTAAATTAACACGCGTATTGAAAATAAGCTCGTATTCTCATAAGTACTATAACAATTAAAGAACCTTTTTTAAAAATTGAGTTTTTCCAACACTCGAACTATTAATTGAGAAATTTAACAGCATTTTTCAAAAATGCTGTTAATAATTATCAAGTATCTTAAACATACGGCTTCAAATTTAATTTCGAAAAATTATTACTCATATCAATCTTAAACAAGTGACACTAACTGGTGAATTCTTGAATATTAACCATAAAATTAATTGTTGTCTTTTTGTGGCATTTAGTTACATTATATTTTAGCAATAATTTTTTTGAGTTTTTTTTGAGTTTTTTATTTACCGTTTTTGTCTCACTGTGCACCGGTGTATTTGAGATTTTTACTCCCGAGTTTTTTTTTACTCTCCGGTAAAAATCTCATTAAATTTTTACACGGAGTTAAAAAAGCGTATGAGATTTTTACTCCCTCCATTTTATTTTTAGTTTTAAGTTATTATTAGCAAGACATGCACTCATAATTATTTATTTAAAATATAAAACGTATCCGCAAAAAGTTTTAAGTAAATGTGATTTTTAAGAAGAAGTTTTAAGTAAATGTGAAAGCCAATTTTAGAAGACAAACAAAGTCATTTATAACTCATAATAATGAATTATATCATGTAAACAATTTGCAAAGGTATATTTTTATTTCATTGTTTTAATAATTTTTTTCATTTTTATCTAGTTACAATTAGATACACACAATTAGACAATCGCAAGTTACTGAATATTTAATCTAAATAGAAATTATTAAAATCTCCTTACCTGGTTTAACTGTTAGTGTTTAATACTTTTTAGTTTCTCATGCTACTTATAGTTTATGGCTTTTCTTTATTTTTTTTTTTTTTTTTTTTTTTTTTTTTACAGAAAAGTTATTTAAAGCAGTGATGAACAACAAAGCATAATAAAGTTTTTTTCCTGAAGGAAACGATGTTTCTGTCGATTCTAAAGCTTTACCTGGTCGTTCAGGTATTAATAACACTACTGTTATTAATACCTATTAGTTTTAGACTGCAATTTATTTGATTTTAATGATAACGATGCTCACAGCAATGATGATTTTTGCAACAAAAAAATAGTTTCAGAAACGTTCACGCGATGAATAAACTAAAGAATTAACTTCTGATTTTCAAAACTTAGTAAAATCTCATAAACGGCGAAAATGTCATTATGACAAGAGAATTGCTCCACAAATCTGAAACTAGCACAAATCAAAAAGTATTGCTAAGAAATAGTAGACGTTATGATAGAAAAGGCTGAGTATGGAGTTTGCACCATTTCTGGAAGTTATCTATTTCAAAAACTAATAATAAAAAAAAATAATTGATCCACCTTAAATGCTGCAAATAATCTATACTATTTGTTGTTTTATTTCGTACTATTTAATTTTTACGCTACGAATTTTACCTGCCTTCTTGCGGATTTAATGCCCAAGTGAAATTATTTGTGTTCTAAATATTAATAAGAGGAGCGAATAAATTAATGAATAAAAAATAATAATAATATCAGTCTAAATAAAAAGTAATCGCAAAAAAAAAAGTAAAATAAAAATAAAAAGCGAATAAAAATAGTTGCTGTAATTGAAGATCATTTTTGTAAAAGTCCAT